CATCAGGGCTACCACGACTTCACTGTGCCGGCCACAGACACAGTGTGTCCCTCCCAGAGTTCCTACTCGCTCCAGCGCCTGCTGAGCAAACTCAATGTAGGGTTATGATGTTCAGGAATATTGGAACACAGTAATGTTCGACAAAGCTGTGCCAAGCCCAGTCCCGCCAATGCGTCATTCGAAGCTAAAAACAATAATGTTCGGAACAAAAGTGGTGCCAGCCTCAAATATTTGTTCCACACGATTCCCTGATTGCCTCGCATATGTTCGTATCCATCATTTCTTCTGTGCCCATGGCATCTGAGCTATCGAATGTCTGTCTTATTTTCCTGCAGGACCAAGTTTATGCTTCGACGTATCATGGGTATTACAGAGTTGACCCAATTGGAGAAGGACAAATAGATACACGGATGCTGAGGAGTTTCCCTGTGCAGAAGTAGTCGAAGACTCCTCGGCTTTCCTCGGAAAAAGTCCCCTCTTAGGATAAATCACAGTCCTTTAGATGCAAGCAAAATTAAAAAGGAATTTAGTCACTCAGAGCATGTCAAAAAAGCAGGCATGCTCCTTTATTCCGACCCCCCTTACATCTCTCTCCACAGAGAAGTCGTAGAAGCAAACAATGTTTTCCAAATTTATTTCAGTGCCATTAGGTCATGTATGTCCCTTGGCTTTATCTTCTCTGAGAGGCCAACGTCGAGCTCCCGGGAGCCTTACCTCCGGGGGCTGCTCCAGAACCTGTATCTACAAGTAGTCTATGATTGTACAGTCTCGACCCACTTTGTCTGGGCGTCGCGATTCTGTGGGGATTGAAGTTATCGGAGGGAGAGCGCTTGAGTTTCGGTATGTTCTCTTTTGGGCCATTTCCCTCCAAGCGACCGCTTGCGGAGCCAAGCCGGATGCGTGTAGGCAGTTTCCTTTGCTGCTCTTGACTGCCGCGTGTATCTTCGTTGGTGTGCTCTCGGGGGATCGGAACTGGGGAAGGATGCCCTCCATAGTGTTCTACTGGCTTTCCACCTCGATCTGCAATGGGCTCTTTAGGTTGCGTCGGAGGTGGCATGGGAGGTTCGCCATGAG